TTGCTTTCATGAAAGCAAGCATTTGATCAAAGTTAACAATTCTAATTTAAAAAGCCATGCTGATCTCAGCTCTAGTAGATGTTTTCAACATATTTAGAACCATAGATCCTTGACAGGAATATAGTATTCAAAATAAGTTATTCATTATTTTTTGTTTGTTTTATAATATTTTGAATTGGTGTATTTAGTTTTGCTCATGGTTATGAAAATGTGTTTCTGTTTTCCTACTTAAAACATATAATGCATGCCACCATTTTGGTCTCTCTATAGAAATGATTGATTTCATATGTCTGCCTGCTTTTCATCCTCTTAGTAGCACATCTCAGACCACTGACCTGTCACACCTATAAAGACACATCTAAACATTTGTTACAACATGTTTTTTTTAAGTTCTGAATATGCACCATAACCAGTAATAAAACCACCAGGCTCAATTGTTCAAATTTCAAACCAATATCTATTTCTACACCCACATTCCACTTAGCTCTGCCACAAATGGTATGACTCATGCATCTGTGAAGCTGTGATGTACCGAACATGTCGCAAGGTTAGCTAAAAGAACAGCTACAGTTTGAATATCATCACTTGCACACATTTGGTGAAAGAAAAAAAATGGCTCTATGCAGTTTTTTTTTCTTAAATCATCCCACTTTTAGCTGGCACAGCAAATGGGATTTGAATCATAAGAAGACAAAAAAACATTACCATACCATATGACTGTGAAAATTAAGCATTTTTCTTTATAAATAAGTAAAACAACTTTCTTTTTAGCATTGCATAATGTTTAAATGTATATAAATTGCATGTTTTATAGTGATCTGAGCAAACACTAATATTAAAGCAGAGAATTTTAAGGCTAAAGACAATCCAGCAGTCAATTACACCCACAAAGTCACAGATAGYCACTGTAGCAAGTTTGATCCAGCTTTAAAATACGGTCCGGCATTATTTAAAGTAGGAGTTAAGCACTATTGTTTGTTGCCTTGAAGAAAGCTTTGTTAATATAAGCGCTTATATATTGTGTGAAAAGGATAAAAGCAGCATAAACTGTGCACTCAGTGCAGCARTAATGACTGATGTTTCTTTTGTTGATCGTGYCAACGTAAATGCAAACAGCCCAACATAAACTAAAAGAGCATTTTATCTTTGAGTTCATGGCTGACCAAATGCTTTCAGCTGGCTAAATGAGCCAGCTGCTTTATAAACTCATTTTAAAGCTCAATAGCCCTGTATACTGTAAGTCTTTAAATGAGATGTTTACAGAAATTCAAAGATAGAAACAAAGCATTTGTGTTCCAGGAATTTGCATCCTTCTTTTATGTGYATGTCATGCAGACAGATTGGAGACATAATGTTGCCTCACGCTTTTCTTTTTATTCATGGTAATTTTATTCTGATGAAAACCAATTTAACAATGTGAATTGACATGTGTAGTATTTACCCCCCCCCTCCCACTCACACACTTTTTTGTATGAACAAAGCTTTTTTTCAGATAATGAATAAATGGTACGCAACAGTAAGTCAGATCATGYACATTTGCTGTCTTTTTTTTTCTCCAGTGAGAACTGAGAAATGTTTTCTGTACTTTGCATCAATAGATCACAAATGTTTTTATTTTTATTATTATTTTTTTAATGAGCATCTCCTCAGAAGACATCAAGCTCCCAAAGTACCCTCATGGTGACTGTTGTGTTCACAATAAGGTCCATTTGGAGCCAAGATAATAATAGCTTGAACCACTCAACTTGTTAATTATCACTGCTTTTTTTTAGTTTTACATTACAGTTCAGTAAATGGTTGGTAATTAGACTTTTATTTAAGATGTAAATGAATTACTGAAACAACTGAAAATTAATTCTAATGATGCAACTGTGCAATTATGTTGTCCTTGAATGTATGTTTCTTGTCCATTATGTCCAATCACATTTAACAGGGTTTTGTTTGTTTGGTTTTTTTATTTATTTAATTTGTATTTTATTTTTGTCAGCATTAAGTGTGAGCATGATAAGTAGCCTCCGTATTGCTGTTCAGTACTGTACTGTAAATTCAGATTTTATTGTTCTTTGAGTGGTTATTTTCCTTCGACCTCAGCTTGAAGCWGACCAATAAAACTCAACAACATTGTTTTTAACTCCACTTTTAAGTCAAGTAAATTCGAGCAATTCTGGCTYAAGCTCGGAGTGCAAAAACTATTGCTGCAGTTTGTGAGGAAGAGCAAAGTTGGCGGCAGTGATTCATGCCAACCTGTTGATAGAGCTGTGCATGTGCGTCTGTGACGGCAGCTGCGTCCGTCTGCCTTGCTTGGGGCAGCTGAGATGGCTTTGGAAGGGTTTCAAGGCAAGCCATGTTTGGTTCGCTCATCATCATCATTTGCCTCCTCTCTTTTTGCACAACACATGTCTTGTGTTTGTGCAAGATAGTGTGCTTATGGAGACAATGCAGTACGAAAGTGAGCCAAAGCAAGTTTGAACAAACGCTAACACATCATTTGTTCATGTGTGTCTGTATAAATAAATAAATAAATAAATAAATAAATAAATAAAGTTTTTATATACAGTATATATA